TCATTTAAGACTCAGTTTAACTTATTATCACTGTAGTTGTTTACTCTTATAAACATTGTAATAAGTCAGATTAGTATTGGATAACTATAAGTGTTAATTAGTACTTAATCCAGATAATATCCGGCACCTTGTCTGTATTGGTCCTTATCTTAACACATAAATCCAGTGCTAGTAGTATCCGGTTTGATATTGGCTATTTCAACCTTTTGAGATATTTGTGTAAAACTTCATAAAACAATTGAATCAATTAATTCAAAATCATTTGCTGTAATAATAGAAGTACCTTTAAAATAAAAATAAAATTTGGTTGTCTCTAACTATATCATTGTAACCTGTCCAAATACCATTTGATTGAAAATTATTTAAAAAATAACAATAATATTATCATTGTCTTGTATTCTCAATTTAATAATTTTATTAATATTTATTGTGTATATTTTAATTAGAATATTTTAAAATAAATGTTGTTTTGTGAATCATTGGTTATATAGAGAGCAGTCCCTAGCCTTAAGTGAGAGAATATTGGATAATAGTTTGCATATTTATATTTTGTCTATAACACAATTAGTTTTCGAGCGAATTCTACCACTGAACCAAACTTAAATCTGAACCAAAATACGCAAATTTAATAGGAATATAATCGGGTTAGAAGAAGACGATCTTTTAGATTTATTTCCTTTAATAAGTAAGCATATACGACAATAGAATACCTGGTCCCATGATCACCCAATCAGCTGAAGATGAAAGAAGACCATGCTGAAGGAATACAGTAGGTCTACTCTTGTTATAACCCGTGTCTCTAAATTATTCAAGTTACGAATATTTAAGTAATAATATAAAAAAAATACATTTTATCATCCAATCTAAAGATCAAACCTATTATTATTATATTTTGAGTGGCGTTTGTACTTTACTGGCGTTTTATCTGGTAGCTGTTTTATGGGTGCAGCGTTTTATGAGGTAGTGTTTTATCTATAATGTAGCGTTTATGAGTGTAGTGTTTTATGAGTGTAGCGTTTTATAAGTGTAGCGTTATATGAGGTAGTGTTTTATATTTGTAGCGTTTTACGAGTGTAGAGTTTTATGACTGTAGCATTTTATGAGTGTAGCGTTATATGAGTAAGTGTTTTATCTATGTTGCGTTTAATGAGTTAGTGTTTTATCTATGCTGCGTTTAATGAGTCAGTGTTTTATCTTTTCTGTAGCGTTTTATGAGTGTAGCGTTATATGAGTAAGTGTTTTATCTATGTTGCGTTTAATGAGTTAGTGTTTTATATTTGTAGCGTTTTACGAGTGTAGAGTTTTATGACTGTAGCATTTTTTTAGTGTAGCGTTATATGAGTAAGTGTTTTATCTATGTTGCGTTTAATGAGTTAGTGTTTTATCTTTTCTGTAGCGTTTTATGAGTGTAGAGTTTTTCTAGTATGACCGTAGTTTGTTCGGGTCAATTTAACAAAGCCGAAAGCGTACTTTAAAAATCTGAAAAATAAAATTCTGAAAACTTTTTAAAAGATCTCGTTTGTAACTAGTGCAGTAAATTAGAATTATTTTAGTTTTTGTGCCTGTTTGGAAACATGCGTGTTTTCGCCTTAGATTATCTTTTTGTTTGTCTGATTGGTTTATATTTCAAAGGACATTCGTCTTTGAAATCGAATATTTAAATTCTTTTTTTAGATAATTAAGATTCAAATCTGTGACTTTCATGCATAAAATGTTCCAGAATTGGAAAAATTTACACGTTTTCAAACAAAATGAATTTTAGAATTTATTAACTGTGATGTTTTTTCATTATTTTTGATCGAACTTGGAAAAAACATTTTGGCAAAAAGTTATTTTTTTTTATTTGTTTATGATACGGGATAAATGAGTTTAAAAAAGAATTAAACATCAAGATTTTTCTTCAGATAACTTTTAATGATTTTTGATCGAACTTTGAAAAATTTAGCAAAAGTTATTTATTCTTTTTGTATCTGATACGGGATAAATGAGTTTAAAAAAGAAAAACTTATCACAATTTTCTGGCCTTTATGCTATATTTAAGTTCATATAATGTTTATATTGAAAGATGTCTAAGAGATAAGAAAATTGTATTCTCACTTTCTAAGTTGCAATTGCAATATGCCAAGATCAGATGATTTATGTTTTCTTTGTTATAAAACGTTGAAATATTATTATGCAACCGCTTTAGAATCTTAGTTGATCACAAGTTGATAAGGATTTGTTTAAAAGTTACATTTGGCAAAACTTTACAAGAACATTATTAAAAACCTTATTAATTGTGGAATGTACATAAAAGCTTTCTCTTATTAAGTTTGAATTAAATATCAACATTTCTCTTTTCTCTTTTAAACCTCATCCCTTCTTTTCTCATCCTCTTTCCTTCTCTTCTCATCCTCATCCCTTCTCTTCTCATCCTCATCCATTCTCTTCTCATCCTCATCCCTTCTCTTCTCATCCTCATCCCTTCTCTTCTCATCCTCATCCCTTCTCTTCTCATCCTCATCCCTTCTCTTCTCATCCTCATTCATTCTCTTCTCATCCTCATCCTTTCTCTTCTCATCCTCATCCCTTCTCTTCTCATCCCCATCCCTTCACTTCTCTTTAAATCCTTTCCCTTATTTTCTCATCCTAACACCTTCTCTTCTCATTCTCATCCATTCTCTTCTCATCCCCATCCCTTCTCTTTTCATCCCCATCCCTTCACTTCTCTTTTAATCCTATCCCTTATTTTCTCATCCTAACACCTTCTCTTCTTATTCTCATCCATTCTCTTCTCATCCCCATCCCTTCTCTTTTCATCCTCATCCCTTCTCTTCTCATCCCCATCCCTTCACTTCTCTTTTAATCCTATCCCTTATTTTCTCATCCTAACACCTTCTCTTCTTATTCTCATCCATTCTCTTCTCATCCTCATCCCTTCTCTTCTCATCTTCATCTACTCTTTTCTCATACACATCCCTTCTATTCATCTTAGCTTTTCAGCCAAGTCTCTTGTATCTTAATCCCAATTATTTTATTTAAAAGTTTTTAAAAAAATGTTGTAAAAAAAGTAGCTGACCTTGAGTGTGGAATTCTGTGCATATTTAGAATATATCCGTCATCTGTAACAACAGTATGGGTCTCACAGGGGTAACCAGCATCTAGAATTCGTATAAAAATAGTTTGAAGCTTGTATTTATCATTGCAAAAAAAATGTTTTAAACTTTTTAACCTTTTTGAAGGGACTCTAAGCGTAATTTCAAGTGACCCTCTATTTGTAGAGTTGCTTTTGTAGAGTGGCATTTGTAGAGTGACGTAACCGATTTACAACGATACTCTTTAAACCTTTGTTTGTTAAAGGATTTCGCAGATATTATTATTTAAAAAAGCAGAAATTAAGTACCAAGAAACCGCTCGTAGTGTCTAAACTGTAACCTCGAGTCCATCGGCACCTTTGTCTTTGCATCACCACATTGATGTCCGGACCAAGGTTTGAAGGGTACCGTTGTAAATTGGAATGTCTCCCTTTATTTTGAAGGTCACTTGTAATTACAATTACAGTCCCTTTAAAAGGAAAACTAAATTGTGTTTGTCAGAAATGGTAAATCTGACTGATAGGTAACCCTTGGCGTGGCACATCAGTAATAAACCGGGGTTTTTGCGCAAAAAAATATCTTACAATTCTAAACAGCAAACTGTGAAAAGTTGAGTGCGTTGTTTCTTCTGATTATGATATTTTGTTGAGGGTATTGAGATTTATAATTGCATATTACAGAGACAGTTCAGGGCACAAACATCTTTAGAAACCAAAGCAGTGTGATTTCATTATCAAAATAACTAAAGAAGACGATTGTATAAAATCCTGCAGGACAAAAATAATCTTGTGCCAAAACAAGGCTCAAATTGATCTTGATGAAAATTAACTAATGTAAAGTTGTTAAAAAAAATTCGAAGTTTAAGTTCGATAGAAATTGACCGACACTTTTCGGATTTTTGAACATTTTTGTACACAACATGGATTCAGTATTTCCTTTCATTTAATAAATTCCTTTTTAAAAGATTTAAATTTCTCTCGGATTTGAAAATTTATGTGACAGGAAAGACAGATTTCAACTAATTTATTCAACTTTATGTTAAACAGGTAAAATATATATATTCCTGGAAACTATAGAATTATTAGATCGTTTTTCTCATTGGAGACCTCATCACAGATGCTTTTTTCTCTTTGGAGACCTAATAAGAGATCATTTGGAGACCTAATAAGAGATCATATTTATCTCTTGGAGATCTAATCAGGGATTCTATTTATCTCATTGAAGACCTAATCAGAGATCCTATTTATCTCATTGAAGAACTTATCAGAGATCTTGTTTATCTCATTGGAGATCTAAAGAGATTCTAATTATCTCATTGAAGACCTAATCAGAGATACTATTTGTCTTATTGGGGACTTCATATGAGATCATATTTATCTCCTAACCAGAGATTCTAATTATCTCTGAGATCTTATTTATCTCATAGGAGACCAATTGGAGATCCTATTTCATCACTTTAGAGACCTAATTATAGAAACTTGTCATTTTGATTTAATTTGACGGAAAAATTAACATTCTAGAAAGTGTACATATTTTAAACATATAATTTTTATTTTTCAGATGATGAGTTTTAGAAAAAATTGTAAAATAAAATATAGGTCAAGACAAAAAGAAATTCTGAAGAAGAAATTTCAATAGAATGTTTTCTTTAAATTGTGAAAAGAAATTATCAATTTACTCTTGTGGAGGTTTAGAATATAAAACCTGTAACTATATAGTGTGGAGGGTTAGAATGTTTAAACCTGAAATTATCTTCTGTGGAGGTTTATAATGTTTAAACCTGTAATTATCTCCTACGTGGAGGTTTATGAGTTTAAGCCTGTAAATATCTTCTGTGGAGGTTAAGAATGTTTCAACCTGTAATTATCTTCTGTGGAGGTTTAGAATGTTTAAACCTGTAATTATCTCCTGTATAGGTTTAGAATGTTTAAACCTGTAATTATCTCCTGTATAGGTTTAGAATGTTTCAACCTGTAATTATCTTCTGTATAGATTAAGAAAGTTTAAACCTGTAATTATCTCCTGTATAGGTTTAGAATATTTAAACCTGTAATTATCTCTTGTGGAGGTTTAGAATATTTAAACCTGTAATTATCTCTTGTGGAGGTTTAGCATGTTTATCCTCTGAATAATTTGGAAAGTCCAGATATTCTCCAGGTTCACCATTATTTTCCACCTCCTGGAAATTGCCAAATTTACTTTTTTAAATATTTGAAGGGGACTGTAAACATAATTTCATGTGACCATTTAAACCTTAATCTGAGAAATAATGATGGAGATATCGTCTGTTTTTAAAATATGTTTAATTCTGACAATTCCTTCGTTATATATCTGCTTGCATAATCCGAGAGTCACAATTGAAAATAATAAAATTTCAGATAAAATGAAGATGGTTGCTCGGACGTTAAGGTTATGATGGTTCCATTGAGAATGCTACATTCAACACTTTGAATGAAGAATCAATTACTCCTACAGGCCCTTTAAACATCTAAAGCTCTAATCACTAATTACTTTAGAAAGCATTAATCGATATCTTTAGGAGCTTAACGTATTAAGTTAATCCTGGAAACATGGCCCAATCAAAAATCACAAAAAAAGAGATGTAAAAAATACCAGTCCTCTGTTTTATTTTTCAACGTTAGTTTCTCAAAATTACCTCAATAAAGTCTGACCAGTCAACAGAATTTCCCAAGAAATGTTTTTCTGAAGTACATAAAGATTTTTTAAAATTTTATCATGATCTTTCCTCTCCATTTAAAAAGAACATCTTTTTGTTGATCGGTATTTTAAAGATTAAATTTAATGCATCTCATTCAGTGAAAATAGTTTTGATTGTGCCAGTCCTGGTTATTCAAATTTTTGTGGAAATTGATTTGAAATGTTTAGGTTCGGTTTGCATTTAAACACAAAATAGAGTTTACCAAGTGTGGCAGGGTTTAATTTTATCACGTTCCCGACTACCAGCTGAAAACAAAACAAACTGAATTATTAAACACATTTTTAAATCGTTTGAAACATAATTGTTGACACAAATAAAAGAACAAAAGGGATATTCCTTAACTTTATTGAATAATAGCATGAAATGAGAAATAAAAGCAAAGCAGTTTTAAAATATTGACCCTTAAATGGGAGTATCTAAACGGTTGAAAATGAAATAACATTGATTATTAGTTTTGGAAGGAATGGAACAGTTGGAGCTTCATGATGGTCAGCTCGCAGGTCTCAGCATCCTGGCAGCAGTTCTGGTCATCTAAGCATCGGGGAACTGGGGTGTCGCAGTTTGGTCACTACGTCAGAAAGATTAAAATCTTTCACTTCCCAGCCTTAATCCCGACATTAGCAGCACTTGTTGCTAGGGGAGACATCCAATTTAAGGGTCAATATTTTAAAACAAATTTGATTTTATTTCTCATTTCATGCTATTATTCAATAAAGTTAAGGAATATCCCTTTTGTTCTTTTATTTGTGTCAACAATAATATATAGTGAACCTCCATGTATACAAAGGCATGATAGAGTCACAACGGCACCATCAAAAGCGTTGTCTAGTCAAGTATGTACTTGATACACCTGAGGCCGAATTTAAAAATTTGAGCCGCGACCTAAATTTGAGAAGCGGCTCAAATATGGTTGATTCCACTTGAAATTATAGTCAATGTTTTAAGATTTAAGCCGGCGCTTAATTGAAACCGGTTTTGGGCAAATTTTAGACGTGGCTCAAATTCAATAAATTCGGACTCTGTTTATGTTAATTTGCACGGTTTCTCTCTAAAACTGACCTAAGCATTTCCAGGCTTCAGAAATTATAGAGAAATTATAATTAGATCCTTTTCAAGTCGGAAAAAATGACCTTGATCAGATTAAGGTTTTGAGCTGGTACCGTACGTTTTCAATCAAGCATACTTATATTTGTTTAATCAGAGGGTCACTTAGGATTACGAGGACAATACCTGTAATATCACGTCTATGGTATTCATGAAAAAATGTATCTTTATTAACTGTAAAAAATCTATTTGTACAAAACTTTTTAGAATTTAAGTCCATTGAACACTTTAAATTTTAAAGAATAAACCATAAAAATGTACTTTTAAAAATCTTGTTACAACATACATTAAGAACCAGACAAACTGTGAAATATAAGAACCAGACAAACTGTGGAATATGAAAACCAGACAAACTGTGGATTATGAAAACCAGAAAAACATTGGAATATGAAAACCAGACAAACTGTGGAATATGAGAACTAGACAAACTGTGGAATATGAGAATTAGACAAACTGTAAAATATGAGAACCAGACAAACTGTGGAATATGAAAACCAGACAAACTGTGGAATATGAAAACCAGACAAACTGTGGAATACGAGACCCAGCCAAACTGTAGAATATGAAAACGACATTATAATGCAGTATGCAGTAATAAAGTGTATTTAAGTGTAGTAAGTGATGAAGTCAAATAGTTTAAAAGAGTTACTTTAAAACCACTTAAAAAGTGAAATGGGTCTGTTTATACTGCACAATTGCTTTGTCTCATATTCATTAGAAAATTAAAAGGAATATGTTAGAAGTCGTCTTCCTATTCCAGAGTTTTCTGGTATTTATTGTGGACACTACTATAAAAATTTACCTGTAGGAGAGTCCCTAGTATAATTACTAGCGTTGATGTAACTAGCTTCATATCTAACAATAAACTGAGAATTGATAAGATCGCACTTGTTTATGAACCCTGGTATTATTACGTGATTCAAAGGGTGTCCTAGAAACAATCGAAATTTATTTTTGAATCGCTTGAATTGCTTGGTCTCTTATCAATCATATGGTACAAAATATTGTCTTTCTTATTTTAAATTCAAACTTTAATTGTTTGCATAAATATTGTTAGGCACTTTGTAGCTAGCCATTACATTGATTATTTGTGATGAAAAATATGAAATATTCATAGTTATATTGTAAAAAACTGCATGGCACTATTTTTTATTTCTATCATATGTTTCGAAAATATTTAAAATATCCACTACATTTGTATATCAAAATTTCTTTATAGGAAAAAATAATTAAATAATGAGAATATTGCCTTAACATAAACATCGGATACACAAACTTGAATGTTCATAAGAAGAATTGGTCTAATCCAAGCAAAATTAAGTAAAACATCGATACGATTAAGACATATATTTTATCCTACAACTTTTTCATTTTTTTACGAACACCCTCTCCATTAGGTTTCCCATATATTTATCAAGATTAACATGTTGGCGATAAAGATAAAGCCAGACAGAGGTTCAAGAGCCACGAATTTATGAATTATAATTTGAAAAATAAATGGGCTTTTATCATATTTTTACTTTTATTGTCGTTCTTGCTGTAAAATACAGTTAAAAGAAGAGCAAAATAATTGCGTAAAACAATATTTTTTAATGTTCCAATAAACATGGGAATTGAGAGTCGTCTTTGATTTCTTATAATCAATGCATGGCAAAGAAAGTAAAAAAATGAGGCTTTACGTCTTTTTATAAAGATTTTTATTTATTAAATAAATTGAAATTTGTAAAAATTTTGCAATAACTTCGTCAATTTTGAAGATACAGAAATGGTAGACCGTACATTTTGAAAAACTCGTGACCAGGCTATTTCGATATTAGATGTTTAAGCTGGAATACTGCAATAATTGTGTTCATAAAAAACGTCGCATGGATCGAAGACGATATTAAAGTCGTCACTGAATTCCCATGTTTATGGGGATATGTAGCTGTATAAACAAACATTTAAAATGAACACGATAAAACTTTAATCAATTATTCCAAATTAAAACTAATTTAAGATAATTTATTTTCAGAAACTGATTTAACTTAAGATATAAAAGTACAAATTATGCGAGGCAAAATTCAAGCTATTTTGAAAACAAAACATATATATAGGATAAAAACAATTTGATAAAGTATGGCAGTTATTCTTAGGTATATTTAAGACGATATTTGTGGCCTTCTTTCAGATGAGTATAAAACGGTTTTGCTTAGTACAGTTACAAACACAAATAAAACGATGTTCAAAATAATTTCTGGTCAAAAGTTGATGTTTCAGGATAATATCATGTTAATAAACATAATTTTATTGTTTCTTTAATCTCTTTTGCACAGCTGCACTAAACTAGAATTCATCATGCCGGTTCAACATTTCTCCAAACTGTGTTGCCTGAGATCCAACAAATACATCATATTTCTCCAGAATTTCCTCCTAAAGTAAAACCCGATAAAATGTCGTCTTCTCTAATTCAAAATGGCGGACTACCTGGGATAGTTTTTGGTCTTGGTCAGCATCAACAGTGGATAAAAGATGATGTGCTTCTGCCCAGGAATGATCAAAATCTTCCGGAACTAGCCAGTGTTTCATCTAAACACATTAACTCTTTACAAACAGGTCCAAGAAATAGGATTTTAATCAGGTTTCAAGTTCAAACTTATAAGAGGCCTAAATTTTGTCGGTAAATGCTCAAAAATATTTATATTTTAACATAACTACCAAACCCTTAACGATGCTTTGAAGCAAGCTCCTGAAAACTTTAATAAACAAGAACTTAAATTTCATACCCAAGTTTAATCTTCAAATATTTATTGGGCTTGTCTTTTAGTTTTTTTGTATCCGATAACTGTAAAACCTAAAGAACTTGACATGACCCGAAGAAAGGTTTATGGCCGGCCCGCCGAGATTAGAACAATCCGCAAAATTAAACATTGTTGTTATTATTTGAAAAAATACGAAGAAGGCCGGTAGATCGGCAACTAAAAGGTGAAATTGTTGAAAAAAAGAGGGGCGCAAAGCAATTTCTAGAAACATATGCTTACCTCTTGAAATGAAAGATAACCATCCTTATCAGTATCCTTGTGTAGGGAGAACTGTTCTCTCTCATCTTGAACCCACTCTGGTTCAATCTCTGGTGCAGTAGTGTCATACTTAACATTTAAACATCTTGGATAAAATCTAATACAGACATTCTTCCAGCTACACAAATCAAAGTCAAACCTTTTTTTGGAATACCTTTTCGCATTTTTTATGAAAATAACAGACCATCTAAAAATGTAAATTCGAAGTGACTCTCAAATTGCAGTGTTTTGTATGCCACAATACAATACAAACTTATCTTTCTTCAGATAGAAAACGTTGATATTTTATACCAATTTTGTCAATATAACGGTTTTAACTCACCATTTGCCAAAAATCGTCGATATACTCTTTAAGACTTATTTTTCCATCTTTATCCTTGTCCATATCATCCATAGTTTCAATAACAACAATATCTCTCATATACGCATGATCCTAAACAGATAAATTACTCTCTAAGAAAGGAATTGAGGAGTTTTTGCCACAAACTCTGATATTCTATTCCTTATATCTTTGCGACCCATTGTCTTAGACCTTATATATTTCCAAATATGATTTCCTTTAGATCAAGTCATCTAAGTTTGAAATATCAAAAGCTCATAATATCAGGTTGCAAAGATATATTAGATTATAATTGAGTTCGAAGCAATGGCTCAGTACTTTTATTGGATCAGGAACAATGAGAACTCAAATAAAAAGGTTTACCAGTTGACCAAAACTGGAAACCCTGACCGCAATTGTAATTGTGCTTTAAAAAAAGTTTCGCAATTTTTAATGCTCAACAAATTTCGCGTAAATAAAGTTGCACACAAAAAATTATTGCACGTTAGAATTTATCACAAATGATTTTTTCCTGCATTTCGGCTTATTGTTTGAGCATGTCTATACTGTCCATGTATTGTCCATTTTGATTTGTGCATTTCTGCAGCCTTTTGGCGTAAAATTTCTTCTTCTTTTCTAATTTTACCTCAGGATGAACAAATGCTGAGAACTCATCTCTATCTAGTTCTTTGTCTCCGTCCTTATCTGACATACGGAACCTTCTCTCATCCCTATGGATCATCCCGGAGTAGTTGAAACCAATAGGGAAGGAGTTCTCAGCGTCCTCCAAAGCCCCGTAGGTCAAGTTCCTAAAACCAACAATATGGGGCCATGTCATTTTGAAAAATTATCTAATACAAATCTCTTGACTCAATTTTTTTGTAGATTTCATTTCTGAGTAAAATATTGCTTTGATACACACATTGTCAACTGACTCCTAACTGACCCTGAAATGGTTTAAAGTGCGAATAAATACAACAAGCTACCAAACCAAATAAAAAGAAATAATGTGTAGAAGAAAATCATTCGACTGTTTGTTGATTATCACTGTATATATTTTGTTGGGATTGTTTTGATTATTTAGTAGACCCGAAATTTTAGACAACGGAATTGAATTGAGTCTTTCCCACGACCTCAAACCTTTTTTTTAGCTTACTTTAATTAATGATTTATGAAATTATAACCTGTATTCCGTCCAAGATATTTGATCCTTTCCCTCCGCAACCTTCTCCTCCCACATTTTCTAGCAGAACAGTTCAATATTAAGACTTTTAAAGGGAGTGTTCATGGATTTGAAACAAACTATTATAATATTTCGAGTTGAAACTATTATTTTTATTTCCATACGATGGTTCTTTTTGATAACATCAACAAAGGAACTGGTTTTCGATAACATCAACAAATGAACTGGTTTTTGATAACACCAACAAAGGAACTGGTTTTTGATAACATCAACAAAGGAACTGGTTTTTGCACAAACTTAAATGTTCAAATCCCTATATCTTTGCAACCCAGTGTCGTATAGACCTCAGCTATTTTAAAGTATGGATTCTGCTAAATTAAATAATCCAAGTTTGAAATATCAAAGGTTTAACATCATCAAGTTGAAAAATTAGAAAAAAAAATAGAGATTGTAGGAAAGACTAAATTCCTTAGCCTCTCCGGAATACTTTGTGGTCGTTAATTCTCGGACAATGGAGGATAATTATGAAGAAGTGCTGCGGCAGGGATTAACAATGTAAGTATAATAATGGTTTGTTGTCATGGCATGTAATGTAATAATAATTTCTAATAATAAATACTAGTCTATTTCTAATCATTAATACTAGTTTATTTCTAATTATGAATACTAGTCTATTTCTAATAATAAATACTAGTCTATTTCTAATCATTAATACTAGTTTATTTCTAATTATGAATACTAGTCTATTTATCATATAGTATAATTCTTTTTTTTAATAAAAATGTGAAGTTAAAAACAAATCCATTAAAACACCAAACCACCCCGCTTATCATTGAAGTACACTTTGACCCCTAGAAGTATGAGTTCACGGACTGTACAATTCTTGGTGATTTTGCGTGCATAAGCTATCTATGTTTATTTATTTATCTATGGTTATATCTGATGTTTCTGTCTCGAGAAATAGATATAAAACTGCGTCGATCAAATGTATACGAAAATTCATTTATAAGTTCGTATTACGTCACAAGAACTTCCACCAATGAGAGTGCAGTATAGGGGTCACATGATACAGACAGAGACATGTGACCACTATACTGCACTTCTATTGGTGGGAGTTCTGGTGACCTAATTACAGACTTTTAAATAATATTATCAATTATATCTATTAAAAATAAAATAAAAATTACAAAACAATAATTGAAGAAACCCTAAGTTACAATTAGGTTTCTCTGGAATATATCTTCGTTTTCAGATTGGTTGCGTATTTGCTGAATACTGTTTAAACTTACTATTTCTATACAAAATTGTATATATATGAATTTTTGTATAAATTTGACACAGTTTTATATCAATTTCTCAAGACAGGAACATCAGATATAACTGTTATGGGTCGCGATCAAGAGCTGAACTGATTAGCATTCAGCCTATAGCCCTTTCATTTTTCCTTTACAGTCCCTTTAAGGTTAGTCCTAATAGTTTAAAGGCTTTGAGGCTCCCTGGGATACATGATATAATAGATGGTTTAATTCTATACTTTGAGGCTCTCAGGTATACATAGGATACATTGGATGGCTTAATCCTATACTTTGAGGCCCCCTGGTATACATATGATATAATAGATGGCTTAATCCTATACTTTGAGGCTCCCTGGTATACATAGGATACATAATAGATGGCTTAATTCTATACTTTGAGGTCCCCTGTTATACATAGGATATAATAGATGGCTTAATCATATACTTTGAGGTCCCCTGGTATACATAGGATAAAATAGATGGCTTAATCCTATATTTTGAGGTCCCCTGGTATACATAGGATATAATAGATGGCTTAATCCTATACTTTGAGGCCCCCTGGTGTACACGGGATATAATAGATGGCTTAATCCTATACTTTGAGGTCCCCTGGTATACGTAGGATATAATAGATGGCTTAATCCTATACTTTGAGGCCCCCTGGTGTACATAGGATATAATAGATGGCTTAATCCTATACTTTGAGGTTCCCTGGTATACATAGGATATAAAAGATGGCTTAATCCTATACTTTGAGGTCCCCTGGTATACATAGGATATNATGGCTTAATCCTATACTTTGAGGTCCCCTGGTATACATAGGATATAAAAGATGGCTTAATCCTATACTTTGAGGCACCCTGGTATACATAGGATATAATAGATGGCTTAATCCTATACTTTGAGGCACCCTGTTATACATAGGATATAATAGATGGATTAATCCTATACTTTAAGGCACCCTGATATACATAGGGTATAATAGATGGGTTAATCATATACTTTGAGGCCCCCTGGTGTACATAGGATATAATAGATGGCTTAATCCTATACTTTGAGGTCCCCTGGTATACATAGGATATAATAGATGGCTTAATCTTATACTTTGAGGTTCCCTGGTGTACATAGGATATAATAGATGGCTTAATCCTATACTTTGAGGTTCCCTGGTATACATAGGATATAATAGATGGCTTAATCCTATACTTTGAGGTCCCCAGGTATACATAGGATATAATAGATGGCTTAATCCTATACTTTGAGGTCCCCTGATATACACATGATAAAATAGGTGGCTTAATCATATACTTTAACCATTAAGTTCTCACAGGTTTTCTTCCACCGAGTGAAAAAGTTTTTATTGTTTGATTTTTTTTCTGAATAATTCCTAACCATACCCATCTCCATTTGAATCTATTCTTCCCAGGATTATTTTCAACCTTCGCAGTGATTCCTCAGGACTAAACAAAATTCAAATTTTAAAAAGTGAAGAATTTTATTTTCAGTTCAATTTTTGCTTTTAGTTTTCACCTCACCCTGAACTAACCAAAGCGAGATGCGTTCGGTTTCTTCAAGATGAATTCAATCTCGTTTTGGTCTTTAATTCAACAATCTTCAAACTTATACATGTGCATTTAAATTAAAACACATCCGCAGACAAAAAAAGTGAAAAAAAGGGAAGAAAAAAAACTTATGTTTAATAAGTCAAATAGTGATCAAAAGGCACTGTTAAATCAGCCTTACCTGAGAGCATCAAACTGGGAGCTAAGGTCATCTCCAAGAAATGCATCATGATCATAATCAAATCCATCATCCTCTCTCCGGGCGGTATCTACAATAGACAGTTAATTAATTAATTCGTTATCTGTCTACCTTTCTACCTGATTTGTCTTTCTACCTTTCTTCATGTCTACATGTCTTCCTGTTTACTTGTCTCCCTGTCTTCCTGTCTACCTGTCTACCTTTCCTACCTGTATTGTGTTTACATGTCTATCTTTCTAAGTACCTTTCGTAAACATGTCTACTTGTTTAAATGTCTACCTGTCTATTTCTTTATCCAGTTTTTATAATTTTTTTATATTACAAATTCCCCCTTACCCCTCTCTTTCTACACTGGCCCCCCTCCCTTCCTTCTACAATTTCTAATCTAAGAATATTATTATATTATAATCCAAGGTTAGTGGTATAAAGATGAATATGTATATTGGAATACCATGGTTCTTTATCAAGAATATTCATCAAATCTTTATATTCACTTTCAGACTTCATACGTTCATTCAAACACTTTTTACATACAGGGTGTCCCATTTAACATGATAGTTGAGAGATGACTGTAATATCGTCTTTGAGCCTTGAAATAGTTTGCAATATTAATTGATTCCCCTATTTCTAAATGTAAAATTATTGAAATAATCATCTCAAAATGCGTCAAGCCCTCCCATTTCAAAATGTGCATCCGCATTTTTTGTGTTTTCAAAATGTTTGATAAATTGAAATTTGTTGGAAATTCGTAATAATTAAGGCACAAAAAGGCAGACCACATTTTGGAAATACCAAAGAAATCTTATAATAATTGTTTCAAAAAGCATACACCTAAAATGAGGTTGAGAAATGACTGCTATAATGACTGCCGTAATACAGAAAATAGAAATATGAGTTAAATTCAATCTTATAAGGACCTTTAGATTGAGTTTCCTTTAAAGGGATCTTTATAGCTTTATAAAATAATGCTTATTGTTTATTATGCATAATAATTGAAAGCTTAAAAACTTAAAGGGACCGTTCACTTATTTGGGTAATTTCAGGGTAAACTGAACTGCCTATTCGCTCTTGATTGGTAATAGTCTTACTTTTCAATGACAACTGTGGCCGGAGAAAAAGCCGATTTTTCGTTCAGAATTTGAGCGGAAAGGGATGGTCCCTCTCTATAGACACTATATATTTGATGTTTTTTTCAGTAACAGCAGCCCAATAACATTTAAATTTATTATATTTTAATGTCATTATGTGTTCGTTATTATGAACTAAAATATGAAAACTTTTGATATTTGAGTTAGCAAGAAATTTACGTTTTTCGTATTTAAACATGTAAAATATGTATACAAAGACGACGTCTCTACGACAATCAATTAATCATTACTCGTATTTTGGCTCGTAGATTTTGTAGATTTTGTCCGCGTATGTGCACAACTTTTCATTTGTCATGCCGCGTTCAATTCAGCTTTTTACACAGGCAATACACAATTTTGAATGCGATAAAATAGTGTTATTTTAGAAATAGAAAGTTAAAAAACAACAAAAATTAAAAAATAATGACATTTACAATTAACGATCAGATACTACAGTTTAATTTTATATTCGAAATTTATTTTGATTCACAACATACTGAAAAAAAACATCAATTAGTGTCTATAGAGAGGGACCGTCCCTTTGCGCTCGAATTCTGAACGAAAAATCGGCTTTTTCTCCGGCCACAGTTGTCTTTGAAAAGTAAGACTATTACCAATCAAGAGCAAATAGGCTGTTTAGTTTACCCTGAAATTACCCAAATAAGTGAACGGTCCCTTTAAAAGAATCGGATTACTTGGTCACTCTCACAATACCTTGCATTGCATTGTGAAACATTTTGACAGTTTAAATACTTTCTTTTTCTCATTATTTTTGTGATTTTTACCATCGCTTCGTGTTCTTAGATTATTTAAGATTATTTTAGATTATATTAGATTTTTGCTAAAAATATTTTACCAGATAAAGGTCGTCCTCTTATAATCCTTGAATCAGATCTGACAAAATCCTAAAATATTATTAAAAAGTATCTTTATTTTAATTTTTTATTGTATTCATTTTATAAGAATTTACCTTGTCCAAGCTTGCAGCATGGGTGCATGCTGTAAATATTAAAAATTGAGTTAACAAACTTAAACTCAACATTTTGGAAGATTTTCTAAAAATGCTGTTCGAAGACTTTAAATGTCGTCTTCTTAAAATATAAATTTAACTAACAACCAAATGTTATTTTTATTATGAAAACAACCAGAAAAACGCTGGAAAAAGAAAATTTTGAACCAATTTTTAAAGTTTATCTCACAAAAGTGTATGCTGCAGGGTATTCTATGAACACAAAAATTAAGTAACCAATGCACTGTGCGTGCACATAATGTCACTCGTATTCAAGAAATTGATCCAATGTCTGGATCCAATTCAGCATTAATTCTTAAACGTCGTCTGTACAATAATAGAAAATGAAATTTGATAATTGATATCTCTCAGAAAATATATTTATATAAATGTTTAAAAACCTTCCTTATATAATCAATAACTTAATATATAATTTACAACATTCGTTAATTTCTGGTTGTAGAAAAATAGCAAAGCAAAATATGCGTCACAGCAGAATAAAAATGTGCAACATTTTGATTAGGCGAACTATGAACATTTTTGTAGCCTTGAATTTGAAGATGTTAATACTGTACAGTGCATGTTTCAAACTTATCTTTTTAAAGGAGTATTTGGCACAATCCGAATTAGTTTTTGCATTAGAATGTGTATATTTCATTTCACGATATATTGAATATATTCCCCTAGTTTCCTGCTGTACACACTACACATGGGTATATCTAGGCTAACTGCATGGAGATATGTTTACAATATATTTACTTTAAAACATCTGGATGGAGAGACAGTGATGAATAGATTAATAAGGGATTTTTCCGCCATAGTAAGTAAAAGAAAGAATACGCAACAAATACGCGTTTTAAAAAATTGAAGAATATTTTTTCCATTTCTTTGATATTTTATAATTATAAATACATATTCTAAGAAAAAAACATGAACTTGTACATTTATAAATCAACATATAAATATAAAGATTGTTGTAACATGACGTTTTTCTTAATAATATTGACTCAAAATAAAGCTGTAATGTTTAGATCTCAAAAATCCTGATAAGTATTATATATAAACATTTAAACAGATGGGTTGGATATATATCACAGAATAAATACGTTATTAAAAGAAGGAGTGGGGTATTTCGGATTTAAGTAGGGACGGGAGAGCTTTGTGAGGTAAGACAGGGAATGGTATGTTTGAATGAGGGGGGAAAGATCTGGTGAGGGAGAATGAGGGGGAGGGGGGGGGGTAGAATGTGGATATTTGGACTCCCAGCATGAATGGCATAATGACTAATGGTTCCAATCATAAATGACATAAACTAGTGAGGAAGGATATTTTAGGTTGAGCAGAACCACCTCCTTTAGACAATAGATATCAGACAGTACATTTACGGTGTCTTCATAGTTCTTTTGGTGATTTATTTTTTTAAGTTTTTAAAGACAGTTTTGCTCAGTATATTAATCTCCCCCTCCCCCTCCCCGATTTCTGTCAAAATATTTCTATACTCGAACCTCAATCATTCCTAATTATCATCTCCTCCAGGTTCTCTATTTCATCTCTAAATAGACCCTCTCATTCCTAACTTAAACCTTTTCTCACTTAATTCACTTCTAAGAAGTAAGAACCTCTAAGCTTGTCTAATATTGACCCAAGCCTCCTACTCCCCTCATGCATCAGATTTTAAGACCGTGTCGCAAGTTTGCAATACGCCTTAGTCCTTTGGTTTTACCTCACCAACTCACTTCTTCTATTTTTGTTTACCTTTGATATTTGCATTTTAAAACTTCAGTATACTTCAGTTTTAAATCAGAAATTTACATTTTAAAACTTCATAATACTTCAGTTTTAAATCAGAAATTTACATTACAATTTTTGCATGACAGCTGAATATTTTGGTTGACAGTGCTTTTTTCTAATAATACTTGCATATTACATCCTTGAACTTTCTCCCTATTCACCCCCCTCCCTCTCCCCCTTTTCAAACCCTTTAACCCCTACTCTTCTAACAATGAAGCAGAATAATTTTTTATATTTCAAGTTGAGGGATTGGTCCTGGGTCCTTCTATGATTATCATTCCATTTATCAATTCACCTTTCAAATATATTCTCCAGCCTTTGCTTGCTGTATTCTGTATCCAGCACCATCTGTATTACATATCTGTATCCAACACCATCTGCACCATATACATCTGTATCCAGCACCATCTGTATTAAATATCTGTATCCGGCACCATCTGCACCATATATATCTGTAACCAGCACCATCTGTAGTAAATATCTGTATCCAGCACCATCTTCACCATATATATCTGTATCCAGCACCATCTGTATTAAATATCTGTATCCGGCACCATCTGCATCATATATATCTGTATCCAGCACCATCTGTATTACATATCTGTATCCGGCACCATCTGCACCATATATATCTGTATCCAGGACCATCTGTTAAATATCTGTATCCGGCACCATCTGTATCATATATATCTGTATCCAGCACCATCTGTATTACATATCTGTATCCGGCACCATCTGCATCATATATATCTGTATCCAGCACAGTCGGCATTACATATCTGTATCCGGCAGCATCTGTATCATATATCTATATCCGGCACCATCTGCACCATATATATCTGTATCCAGCACAGTCTGCATTACATATCTGTATCCGGCAGCATCTGTATCATATATCTGTATCCAGTAGCCTCTGTATCATAAATCTGTATCCAGCACCATCCGTATTATATATCTGTATCCAGTAGCCTCTGTATCATATATCTGTTTCCAGCACCATCTGTATCATATATCTGTAACCATCACCATCTGTATCATATATCTGCATCAAGCACAATCTGTATCATCTGTAGTAAATACCCTACTCCAGAATGGTTTCTCTAATACATATCTATCCACGTACAGTTCAGTTTCACTTAGCTATCAATGTTTAGGCCCGGATATAATCCCGTAACTATCGATCCCAAATCAAAGTGGGCGATCCTCCGCCTGTTTAATCATACTTTACTAATCATGTTTTAATCATACTATGTATCTCATTTTTTATATATATCTAGGTATATTCAGGTTAACAAATATGGGGATTGTTGTATTTGTTGCATGTATTCATTTGAAACATAGATAATTAATAATGTACAATGTACTGCAGGTTTACAGAATATCATGTTACCCGATATCTATTACTTATCTGTATCCAACAGCATCTGCATCATATATTTGTATCCAACAGCATCTGCATCATATATCTGTATCCAACAGCATCTGCATCATATATCTGTATCCAACAGCATCTGCATATATATCTGTATCCAACAGTATCTGCATCATATATTTGTATCCAACAGCATCTGCATCATATATCTGTATCCAACAGCATCTGCATCATATATCTGTATCCAACAGCATCTGCATCATGTTTCTGTATCCAACAGCATCTGCATCATATTTCTGTATCCAACAGCATCTGTATCATATATCCGTATCCAACAGCATCTGCATCATATTTCTGTATCCAACAGCATCTGTACCATACATCTGTATCCAACAGTATCTGCATCATATTTCTGTTTCCAACAGTATCTGTATCATGAATATGTATTTAATAGCATCTGCATCATATTTCTGTATCCAGCACCATCAGTATCATATTTCTGTATCCAGCACCATCAGTATATCGTATTTCTGTATCTAACAGCATCTGAATCATATTTCTGGATCCAGCAACATCAGTATCGTATTTCTGCATCCAACAGCATCTGTATCATATATCTGTATCCAGCACCATATCTGTATCATATATCTGTATCCAACAGCATCTGTATCAAATTTCGGTATCCCGCACCATCTGTATCATATTTCTGTATCCAACAGCATCTGTAACATATATCTGTATCCAGCACCATATCTGTATCATATATCTGTATCCAACAGCATCTGTATCAAATTTCGGTATCCAGCACCATCTGTATCATTTATCTGTATCTAGCACCATCTGTATCATATATCTGTATCTAGCACCATCTGTATCACATTTATGTATCCAACAGCATCTGTATCATAAATCTGTATCCAGCACCATCTGTATCATATTTCTGTATCCAACAGCATTTTTATCATATATCTGTATCCAACAGCATCTGTATCAAATATCGGTATCCAACACCATCTGTATCATATTTCTGTATCCAACAGCATCTGTAACATATATCTGTATCCAGCACCATCTGTATCATATATCTGTATCTAGCACCATCTGTATCATATATCTGTATCTAGCACCATCTGTATCATATATATGTATCCAGCACCATCTGTATCATATTTATGTATCCAACAGCATCTGTATCATATATCTGTATCCAGCACCATCTGTATCATATTTCTGTATCCAACAGCATTTGTATCATATATCTGTATCCAACAGCATCTGTACCATATATCTGTATCCAGCACAATCTGTATCTGAATCCTCTGTATTACATATGTACTTGATCTTTGTAACTCTGTATCCTCTTTTACCTCTGTATCCTCTTTTACCTCTGTATCCTGGGACTCCTCTGAATCCTCTGTATCCTCTATATCCTCTATGTTCTGTATCATATGCCTCAAATGTATTCCCAGTACTGAACCAATTTCTTTCTCTTCACATTCTTAATTTTGTGTATTCTATTAATCCTGAATATCCTGTATATTCTGAATTTTGTGAATTCTTTCAATCCTGTATATCCTGTATTCTCTGAATTGTGTGTATTCTATTAATCCTGAATATCCTGTATTCTCTGAATTTTGTGTATTCTTTTAATCCTGAATATCCTGTATTTTCTGAATTTTGTGAATTCTCTCAATCCTGTATATCCTGTATTCTCTAAATTGTGTGTATTCTATTAATCCTGTATATCCTGTATTCTCTGAATTTTGTGTATTCTCTCAATCCTGAATATCCTGTATTTTCTTAATTTTGTGTATTCTCTCAATCCTGTATATCCTGTATTCTCTGAATTTTGTGTATTCTCTCAATCCTGAATATTCTGTATTTTCTAAATTTTGTGTATTCTCTCAATCCTGTATATCCT